CTATTCCTTGAACAATTGGAAAAACTCATATTGATAAGGCTTTATGTGATTTAGGAGCAAGTATTAATCTTATGCCTTATTTTGTTTTCAAGAAGCTTGGAATGCATAAACCTAAGCCGACCTCCATGTCACTTCAGCTGGCAGATACGTTGATCACATACCCCAAAGGCATAATGGAGAACGTACTTGTAAAAGTTGGAGAGTTTATATTTCCAGCTGATTTCGTGGTACTTGACATGGAGGAAAATGATGATGTCCCCATCATATTAGGGAGACCATTCTTGGCTACTGCTAGAGCCATCATAGACATACAAGAAGGGAAGCTCACACTGAGGCTAGATGATGAAGAAGTTGTATTTCAAGTTTTCAATTCTTTCAAGTTCCAAGAGTCCTATCACTTTGTGAGCACTGTCAATGTTGCTTCTCCTCCTTCAATTTATGGGAAGCATGGAACCACAAGAAGAAGGCCAAGGAGGAAGCAATATAAGAAGAAGAAAAGACAAAAGCTTAAACCATCCAATGTTGGGGAGGCAAAGCTGCTGGGGAGACAATTGCATAGCAAGGGAGTCACCTTTGAGACTCATACCTTTTTCCCACCATGATTTAACAGGAACGTCAGGCTCGTGACGTTAAACAAGCGCTCCCAGGAGGCAACCTGTGTCTTTTATTTTATTTTATTTTTGTTTATTTTAATTTTTCTACTGTTCTTTTATTTGCAGAATAAAGAATAAGCATATTGAAAGACTGCAAGAACTGAGTTGATTGTTCTTGCACACACTTTTGAGCTCTAATCTGAAAGCACGCCTGTGCTCATACCATACACGGCCATGCATTAAATAGCAAGGGCGTGCTTAAGATTTCAACATGGCCGTGCTCCCTCACCCGAAGCTATCGCACCAAGAATCATCAGGGAACTTCTTTCCTTTTTATCTAATAGCCCTCTTTGCATGCTTTTTATTTGATTGCTTTCAAACATTGAGGACAATGTTTCGCTTTAAGTATGGGGGAGTGGTTCCTAATTATATAATTTTTATTGCGTGTTCTTAAGTAAAGTGTCTATTCTAATTTTTTTTATGATAATCTAAAACTTTTCTCTCATGGAACCCAATTTTTCTAGATAGAAGAGCATGTTGAGTGATTATTATTGGCATTATACTTTCATTTGGAAGCTAATAATTAGCTAAGTTCTTTACTTTTATGCTCTACATTAAAATTTAACCCACAGATGTGAGTTTTGAGCCTTAAAGGAGATTTTTATTTTAATTTAATTAATTGTACCCCTTTCCTCATTGTTTTGTGTGATTATCTCCTTAGGATTTGTACTCTAGAACTTGACTTGTAACTGACTTAAGACTTCTATTTTTAATTGCATGTTTTAATGTGATTGAGGCATAATAGAATTTTTATTCTTGGCTTTCCGCATGTTTGAGATACAACTAGTTGTCCACTTTGAACTTTATTGATTTTCTTGGTCCCTTGTGTTAAATTTATAGAATGTTTCAATGACCTTGAGTTTATGAATGGAGCAATTGAGTTGTTGAATTGTTTGATAAATTCTTCTCTACATCTCTCATGTGCAAAAAGAAAGAAAAAAGTATGGAAAAAAAATAGAAAAAAAATAGAAGAAAAAGAAAAGAAAAAGGGTTATGTATGATTGAAAGGAAAAAGGAGTAAATATATTGTTTACATATAAAAAAAATAAAAATTACTCCAAGAGCTTCATTTGTAAGCTTAGGAGATGTTGCAATTGTTATAATTTATTACCCCTTTGTATATTCCCTTTCTTTCATTTATCTCACCTCAATTATTATAACCCTTTGGCCACATTATAACCTGAAGACCTCATGATTTTGACTTGCATTTAATTTATTTAGTGGAGAGTCAGTTTATAGTCAAGCCTATGGTAGTACACGTTTCTTTAGGAGAACTGAGTGATATCTCATTTTGTACCTTAGTGAGAGAGCAACATAGAGTACCTTAGTTTGATGTTTGAGTGAAAAGTATGGAAATATAATATTCTAATTGGGAATCCTTTTGATTTCTTATGCTCAGTGATATTACTTTTGTTGCTCTCTTTATCTTCTTTATCTCGGGTTCCTTGTGCGGTATTTTATTTTAAGTTATTATGTTATTCTCTTAACTAGCACTTTGCTTGAGGACAAGCAAACAGATAAGTATGGGGGAGTTGATAAGTCTGTAATTAGGCTCTCTTTTATAGCCCATATATTCATATTCGATCTTTATTTTATTTGAGTTTTACACTAATTTATTTATTAATTGTGCAGTTTTGTATAAAGAGGCCGCAAGTATATTTTAGGTGCATTTTGGGCCCAAATTGATAGAAGATTAGAGCTTTACAGCAGTCAGCATGCCCAGCCCCTTTAAACAAGCACGGGGGTGCTTCAAGCCCTTCTTGGTTATTGTTATCTGATAGAAGAAGGTATTATTGAGAGATCATCTACTACTTTCAAGAAACCTACAAGGAAAATGAAGAGCCACATAAAGCTGTTGTATGTGTCCGCTCAGATAAATGATGAGTTTTGAGTGAATAAGGTGTTAATTGATTTTGGCGCAACAATTAACCTTATACCTAGTTTTTTGTTGAAAAAGATTAGGAAGACTAAAGTGGACTTGCTACCTCACAACATGGTTTTAACAGATTATGAAGGGTAACCTTAAACTTAAAAGATGTCATTGTTGTTAACCTAAGGGTTGGAAAAGCTTCTCGAGCAACTCTTTTTGTGGTGATCTCCTCAAAGGCTAGTTATAACTTATTACTAGGAAGACAATGGATCCATTGACTCGGTGTCGTACCTTCATCACTCCATCAAAAGTTATGTCTTTAGAATAGTGATGGGATATTGGAGTATGTCGAAGAAGATAAGAGTTACTTAATAAGTTTATATTTTGGCATATTTTTATAGCTTATATATTTATGTGTGACCATTATTTTATCAGGTTTTAACACTAATTTCTATTATTGTTATGCAGATTAATGTGAGAAGGCCATATTTGGGTTTAGGACATTTTGGGTCTAACTTGGTTAGAAAATAGGCTTTGCGACACCCAACATGCCTAGACCCTAATAGTCAGCACGGGAGTGCTTTGACCATATGCACAGTTGTGCATATAGCCTTGCACAGCCATGCTTGCTTTGAGAAAAGGGTTTTTTTTTTAAACTTTATTAAAGAAACCTCATAAGCAGTGACTTAATCATCTTTTTCATATCTTTCACATTTGATTTTCATCTCACCCCTTCCACGACTTTTACACATCTCTTTAACATCCTCAATCTTTGTATTGGCATGTTGTTGATGACCATTAGAGCTTCGGGAAGTGTCTTGGATCAAGAGTGTATATGGTCAAAGTACTCCCCTACTTGCTTTGGGAAAGGGGTTTTGGAACTATTAAAGAAACCTCAAAGCAACGACTTAATCATCTTCTTCATATCTTTCACATCCAATTTTAATCTCACCCCTTCCACGACTTTTACACATCTTTTTCATATCCCCAATCTTGGTATTGGCTAGTCACTGATGACTATTGGAGCTTCGAGAACGTGTCTTGGATGAAGAGCTCTTCTCGTCTCTTCTCTATTGGAGACTTCTCTAATTTGCATTTACTCTTCGAGTTCTATAGATTTGTTTATTTTGGTTCTCTTTTATATTATGTCTAACTAAATCTATAGTTAGGGTTATAGTAAATTCTTTGCATGACTCTATAGGATCTTTATGATTTATAATAATTTCGTGTTCCCGTTTTGGATTGGTATTTACCTTATTGCACTATATTTGTATTTCAGAATTGATAACTCTTAAACATACTATAATTAATCATATTGTAGATGATCATACCACATATAGTTAAGGGATCTATAGGGTAAAATGAGACAAAGAAATAGGTTGACCAAGATTAGTTCTTCTCTTTCAATCGTTGTTAAATTAACAGTTCATAGGCTCTTTATACTTTCTCTTCCTTTTGCCTTGCATGATCATTAAGGGTGATAATTTAGAAAAAAGAATGTTAACATTGGGTGTGAATAGATTTAGAATGAGTGGTTGGCAATCATAAAGAAACCAAAATTGGAATTAATCTCAAAGTGAACATAGAGAAGTGTAAAGATGAAACCATACGTCCTAAGTTCTTCTTGATTAGTTTATTATTAGAAATTGTGTAATTTTAATTTTGTTGCTTTTATAATTGAATCCTTGTTTTTATTTAAGTTTGCATCCTTTAAGTTCAAACAATTGAATTAAGAAATTCTTGGTAACTGGAAATAGTCCTTGTGGAATGATATTTCAGGAACTTATTCTAGAATTCTTTATTACTTTTCAGCTTGTATATTTGCCCACGAACAAGTTTTTAGCACCATTGTCAATGATTGTTTTTTTAATATTAAGAAAATATCATATTTAATTGATTTGAGCAATTATTGTTTTTATTTATTTTAATTTTGTTTTGTTTATTTTCATTATTTTATTGTGTTTTATTTTATTTATTCTATAAAATTTTCTTTATTGTATGTTCATTAGTTCTAAGTATTTTACAACTTGCTTATTTGATCTTAGAGATTGAAAGGACTATGCAAAGACAAAACAAAGAGTTAAGAAAGCAAAAAATGGTAGAGGAAAGGAGATCAATTCAAGATTACATTACACCCACTGTTGGAGGTGCTTCTAGAAGCATCGTAGCCCCTAATATGGAGGCCAATAATTTTGAGCTAAAGCTGACTTTGATTACTATGGTTCAGAACTCTCCACAATTTGAAGGAATGCCTAATGAAAACCCCAACTTCCATCTAACAAAGTTCCTCCAACTTACAAACACCATAAAATATAACAAGGTCACCAATGATGTTATTAGGCTTTACCTTTTCCTATTTTCTATCATGAAAAAGGTGAATGCATGGTTCGACATACTCCCAATAGACTCCATCACAATACAGAAGGATTTGACTCAATAATTTCTAGGAAAAATATTTTCCCCCATCTAGATTTGCTAAGCTTATGGCAGAAATTTTTAGTTTTCAGCAGTATGAGTTTGGATCCCTATTTAATGTGTGGGAGCGATTTGGAGAACTTCTAAGGAAGTGTCCTCTTCATAATTTTTCTATGTAGAGAGAGATACAAATCTTTTATAGTGGTATATCATTCCCCAACAAGGCCATATTTGATGTGGTAGCTAGAGAAGTCCTAATGAGAAAAGAACAAGATAAGACATATAAATTGGTAGACGAGATGGCTTTTGCTAGTTTTTAGTGGCACACAACTAACCTTTTCACAAGCGAAAAGAATGAGACTGCTCTAGTATATCTAGCAGAGATCAAAAATTCTTTAACAACTCAGCTAGAAGCTTTGACTAAGTAAGGGGATTCTTTAATGAGAGTACAAGAATAATAAACAAAACCATCAATAGCTTCTTTATATGAGTACTGCGGCTCCTTAGGCCACGATAAGAACCACTATCTAGTTACTAAAATCAAAGAGGAAACTAATTTTATAGGCAATAATTATAACTTAGGATGGCAAAACAACCCTTCTAACTCTTGGGGGAATGATTTTGGAAGCTAAAATTCAAATATTTATCACCCTCCCCATATACAAAATCAAAGAGCAAGACTAAGGGGAAGAAGACCCTTAGATCTCAATCCAACTTCCAAGAGGCAATGATGTAGTATGTGCATTATTCTAATAAGAGGATGACAGAGTTTAAATCTAAGTTGAAGCAACATATTGAAAGATATGATAAAAGGTTTGTAGAGATCAAATCAGAGATGATAGGACAGTCTTTAAAGATTGAATCACAATTGGAACAAATTACTCATCTTCTAAGTCAAAGAACGTTGGGAATATTACTAACTCAGTCAAAACCTAATCCAAGGGAGCAATGCAACGTCATTACTCTAAAAAGTGAGAAGAAAGTGCAAGAATCACAGAATAGAGGCATGTGCATGCCCTTGCATTCTAATAAGCGCGCCCTTGCTCCTAATTAAGCACAATCATGCTTAGATAAGCACGCCCATAAGGATATAATAAGCACAGATGTGCAGCCAGACATGCAAGGTCATGCTTCAAGTGCAGAGCCTGAAAAAGAGAATAAAGAAGAACCTCTTCTGTAGCCAAGTCCCTATGAGCCTAGAATACATTTCCCACAATGACTACAAGGCCAACCCCTTTATGACCTAGAGTTTGACAAGTTCTTAGATATTTTGGGCAAAGTACACATCAATCTTCCTTTTGTTGATGCGATATCCAAAATGGCAAAGTATGTCAAATTCTTGAAAGAAATCTTGAGCAACAAAAGGAGGCTAAAAAAGCGTGAGATTACAAATGTAACTGAAGAGTGTTTAGCTATAGTTCCTAAAAAGCTCTCGCCCAAGCTTAAGGGTTCAAGAAGTTTTACTATCCCTTGCACCATTAAAAAAACTCATATTGATAAAGCCTTATGTGATTTAGGAGACAATATTAACCTTATGCCTTATTTTGTTTTTTTAGAATGCATAACCCTAAATTAACCTTTGTGTCACTACAGCTGGCAGATAGGTTGATCACTGATGAATCCACATTTTATTGAATTTTTACATATCTTTTTAGTGTTTTTTAATTGAAAAAATAGACTTAGGAAGTGTAAATAACATAGAAACACCATTTTGGTCAAATATCATAGGTTGCTTAATTTTTTGTTAATTTACATTGATTTACATAGATATAATTTGTAATTTTAATCATTTGAATAATTGTGCAAGAATTTATAGACTTATTCTATGGATTTTTAGCATTTGAGAAAGTTTGAGTTGAAAGTGACCACTTTGGATTCCATAGTGGACAGTACAACAAGCTAGATCCAGAAGGACTGACCAAAGGGATCACTCTGATTCCATAGTAGACACTATAGAGACCCCAATTTGAAGAGGTGATACGCATAGCTACTTTGGCTCCATAGTAGACACTCTAGGGCAGACCAAAGTGATCACTCTGATTCTAAAGTGAAAACTCCAGAGAAGGCCAAAGTCACCCAATTTTGCGCGTAGCTACTATGAACCCATAGTAAACACTCCAGAGAGAGTCAACAGTATGGTGACCTGTGCGTAACCACTATGAAACTATAGTAGCTACTGTGGGAGTACTGCGTGTTATCACTATGAAACCATAGTAGTTACTATGGGCAAAAATCTCTGCATTATAAATAGAACTTTAGAAATTAGGGTATGGAACTTTTACACACTTTAAGATTCTTTTGCCATTTTGGGAAACACTTGCAAAGCTTAGGTCATCTTTGGGTGACAGTCAAGGACCAATCCTAGGGTTTGATTCACATTTCTTCTTCATCTTTCCTTTAATTTTTACATTGATGTCATTGATTTCCCTCTGTTTTCATCTTAAATTTGTAAGACCCATCCTCATAAAGGGCTAAAGTTTCTTGTAATCCTTAGTGAGTTCATGGATTCTTGAATTCCTGGGTATGAATGTCAATATAATTCTCTTTCCTTCATGAATTTATATTTACCAACTCTTTGAATTGAATTAATGGTTCAATGAGGGGGACATTGCTTAATTAACCCTACTTCATTTTAATGAAATTCTTAACTTGGTTTACTTAATCCTAATTTAATTTTGAAGGTTGCGTAATCTTGGGAAAAAGAGTTGGAGTCCATTAAATTTGCTTAAATTCGTATGGGATTTTAAGGTTAATTCTCGCTTGTTGAGTTAATCTAATTCAGAGGAAGAGGAAAAGTATTGAATCTTGAGAGGAATAGGGATAGAATCATATGAATGAACTAAGGATTGGTACATTTCATTGATTGAACTCATTAATTTCATCACTTGCCTTTACATTAAAATTGGAATCACACAAAACTCCCCTTTTTTTTAATTGCTTTGAAAGTAAATGTTTATAATATGTTCAATGTATGTTACCAACCAAATTTATTGGAGACAATCTAGGCTTGCATCCTAGACTACATAAAAATTTTGCATATTTTGATGAGATTGGTGACAAATCTTTATACAAACGAAAATCATATCATCAATCACATACCATAAAAACATAGTGGAAAATGTGCTTGTGAAGGTTGGAGAGTTCATATTTCCTGCTAATCTTAGGGTGCTTGACATGGAAAAGCATGATGATGTACCCATCATCCTATGAAGATCTTTCTTGTCTACTGTAAGGGCCATCATAGATGTTCAAGAAGGAAAGCTTACCTTGAGGCTAGATGATGAGGAAGTCGTTTTTCAAGTTTTCAATTTTTTAAACTATCTTTTTTGCCAAGAGTCTTGTAACTTTATAAGCATTGTGAATATTACATCTTCATCTTTCAATTCAGTGCAGCATGGAACTCCAAGAAGAAGGGAAAGGAACAAGCAATCTAAGGGTGTTATGGAGGAGAAGCTGTCAAGAAGACAACTACATATCAAGGGAGTACCTCTAGGATTCATGCCTTCTTCCTACCATAGTCTAATAGGATCGTTAGGCTCATGACATTAAACAAGCCTCACAAGAGGCAACTAACATATTTCATTTCAAGTTATTACCTTTCTTTATTTATTTTACATTTATTTTGTTTATTGTTCTTCTTAGGATGAAGAATAAGCATACTAGGAGCTCAAAAGATCTGAGTTGAACAATACTACGTACACATTTTGAGCTTTGATTCATAAGCACTCCTGTGCTTAGTGGCATGCATTGTCGGGCATGCAGTCGTAGCTAAAGAAAAAGAGTTCTACTTTATAAGCATGGGTGTGCACATGGTTTAGCACGACTGTGTTACAACACCAGAAGTTGTTGCACCTAAGGAATCACATCGTGACTCTCAAATAGGCAGTTTTCCTAGACTTATTAGAGAGTCTCTTTCCTTTTTATTTTTTAGGCCTTTTTGCATGCATTTAATTTTTTCAAACAATAAGGACAATTTTTTGCTTTAAGTATGAATGGGTGCCTATGTACTACATCATTAATTTCTTGTTTTACCCTCCAAACTTCTATAAGGTACAAATTGGCAGTGGGATATTCACTACCTGAAATTACATGAGTGGCTAGATATAATACTTCTACAAACTGACAAGTTTTCTTAACCTTATCCCAATTTGCATTTGAAGGTTTGTAGTCATAATGTGACGCTTTCTCCTTATAAGATAGAAATGCAATCTTTAACTTCAATATCATTAAAAATATTTGAAATGTGGAATTCCATCTTGTTGGAAAATCAAGTATAAACTTTTTATCTTTCAACCCCTTTTGTTTAATGTCACAAAAGGCCTTTAACATTGCATCATTGTAATTGATATACTTTACACTTCTATGAATATTATAAATCACATCCTTAATCTTACTAAAACCATCTTGTATTAATATATTTTATATATGTGCGCAACATCTAACACATAACAGTGCACTACCAAGAAATAGTTTATTATTTATTGACAAATTATCGTTAAAACTTCTTAAACATGAATCTTTATAAGATGCATTTTCAATTGGAAGTAGAAAAAAATGTTTTCAATTCCCCGTGCTTTCAAGCATTTAAGAATTGCATCAGCCACATGCCTTGGAGTAGGAACTTTTACAAAACTCAACACTTTCTTTTGAAGTTTCTACTCTACATCAATGAAGTATCTAGTGATGACCATTGCTAAATTCACATTTTGTTAGGTTTTTAGTTAGTTTCTAGGATCTTTTTAATAGAGAAGAGTAAATTGCAAGATGAAAATTACATAAAAAAATATAATTGTTCAATAAATTTAATTTTTTTTTACTTTTATTGACTCAATTTGTTTGATTTTAATAGTGTTTTTATACAAATTTTGTTGATTGAATTGGTTTTGCAAGATATACTAAGGAAAACACATGAATTGGAAGCTTTAAGTGATCAAAGGAGTCTAATGTAATCACTCTGGGTGCATAAAGTGGACACTTTGGAAGTCTGAATTCAATTCAGAACTAGGTGTAGCTACTTTAAGCACAAAAAGTAAACATTTCAGACTTTTATGAAGTGAAGTATGATGCACGTAGTTACTTTTTGTGTCAAAAGTAGGCACTTCAGAGGCTTTGAAAGGGAATTCCTAGTGAAAGTAGCCACTTTTAGGGTTAAAAGTAGACACTACATAGGTGTTGAAGCGAGAGCATGGTGCGTGTAACTGCTTTTTATGATGAAAGTAGCCACTTTGAAAGCTTTTGGGAAGAAAGGTTGTGCGTGTAGACACTTTAGGGGCATAAAGTGGCTATGCGCAAGCTTATTTCAGAAAGTTGTCGTGCGTATAGCCACTTTTGGGACTAAAAGTGGTCACTCCAGAAGTTATATTGTAGAAATACCATGCACATAGCTACTTTTTACACCAAGAGTAGTCACTTCAGAAGCTGTGAACTTGTGCATAAACACTTTTAGTGCAAAAAGTGCGTGTTCCAAAATATTATCAAGAAAAAAAGGGTTGCTCGTAATCATTCTCAATGCAGAATGTAAGCGTTCCTGAGGCATCAATTAGCTAACAAGCTAGATATAAACACTCTTGGCACCAAAAGTGATTACGCCATAAGCGCGAAAAAGTTATAAATAGAAAGAAACTTATAATTTCATAATTTTTCATTTCTAAACTCTTAGAGAGTTTGAGAGAGAGAGGATTAAGGGTGAATTTCAAGGCTCAAATCTAAAGGAATCAGGCTTGAGACTTGGATTCATGGAGTTCTTCCTTACCTTCTTTTCTCTTCTTAATAGACCATCTACTCCAATTTTGAACATATAAGGATCCTCCCAAATGTAGAATTTGCTGTCATGAAGGAATTTCTTTCTTTGTTACCAACTCATTCTCTTTGAGATGTGCTGAGTGGCCTTAAAGTTTATTATATCTACAAACCAAGGTAATTCCTCCATAGCTAGCAATTTTTCATTAGGAAACTCCTCATTAATGTTTGCAACACCATTATCTTTCTCTTTCTTGTCCTTGATTTCCAATTCAAATTCTTGGAGCAGAAGAATCCATCTTAGCAATCTTGGTTTAGTATCTTGTTTAGAAAGCAAGTATCTTAAAGCAGCATGGTCAGTATATACTACAACCTTAGAACCTACCAAATAAGATCTAAACTTATTGAAAGCAAATACTATAACTAGCAGTTCCTTTTCAGTGGTTGTGTAGTTTATCTATGCAAAATTTAGAACTTTACTAGCATAGTAAATCACATGTAGCTTTTTATCTTTTTCTGTCTTAATACAACACCCACTGCATTATCACTTGCATCACACATTAACTTAAAAGTAGAGTCCAATCAGGTTTCACAAGTATTAGAGCAAAAGTCAAATTTTCTTTTAAAGTAGAGAAAGCATGCAAACATGATTGATTAAATACAAATTCTGCATCTTTTACAAGCAAGTCACTAAGAGGCTTAACAATTTTAGAAAAATACTTAATAAACCTCGTATAGAACCCTGCATGGCCTAAAAAACTCCTAATTCCTTTTACATTCATAGGTGGAAGTAATTTACTAATCACTTCTATTTTAGTTTGGTCAACCTCCATCCCTTTCACAAATATCTAATGGCCAAGCACTATGCCTTCTTGAACCATAAAGTGGCATTTTTCTCAATTCAACACCAAATTAGTGTCTTGACACCTCTACAAAATAGTAGACAAATTAGATAAGCAATCATCAAATGAATCTCCAATTGTTGCATATATTCCATGAGATGTTCTTTGTTCATAACAGATTGAAAATTACTTGCAATTATAGTTTCTCTCAACATGAAAATTTCATCAAATTTATCAAAATGATAAGGAGTAACAAGAGAATCTAGTACATCAACTCTCATACATGTTAAATATCACATTTTCATCCTGCACTCTAAGCATGAGTTCTCTTTTTTGCACATCAATAAGAGCTCTTCCAGTTGCAAGAAATCGTCTACCCAGAATTAATGGTATATTTGCATCCACTTCCATATCTAAAATGACAAAATCTGCAGGAAAAATAAATTTGTCAACCTTAACCAATAAGTCTTCTACAACTGCATATGGATATGTATAAGATCTATCAGCTAATTGTAGTGTAATGTTGATTGGTTTCACTTCTTCTATTCCCAACTTCTTCATGATAGCTAAGGGTATGAGATTAATGCTTGCCCTTAGATCACATAAAGCTTTTCCCACAGTGCATTTTCCAATTTCACAAAGGATGTTAAAAGATCTTGGATCTTTGAGTTTTTGAGGAAGTTTTCTTTTAAGAATAGCACTGCATTCTTCAGTTAACGGTATTGTCTTGTCATGTTCCAACTTACTTTTCTTAGACAATAGCTCCTTCATGAACTTGGCATAAGATGACATTTGTTCCAATGCTTTCGCAAAAAGGATATTAATCTACAGCTTCTTGAATACATTTACAAATCTCTCAAATTGCTCTGCTTGTTTAGGATTCTGCACTCTTTGAGGATAAGGTAGCCTTTTGTATTTCTCTGTGTCAATTGGTCTACAAGCTTCCTTGAAAAGCTTCTTCTTTGTTTTTCTCTCAGAATTAAGAGGAACTTCATTTTCTGAATGTTCTCTTTTTAACAATTTTAAATTCTCTTGCTGCAAATCTTCCTATACTCTTCTTTCCTCTGCTGGATTGTTAACCCTGTTCTCTACAGGCTTTGGGCTAGCTACCACAACTTCATTTCTTATTGTTATGGCTTGACACTACTCTTTAGGATTAATCATTGTGTTGCTAGGAAATCTTCCCTCATCTCTATTTTCTAATTGTTCAGCTAACTGCCCAATCTGAGTTTCTAACTTCTTCATAGAAGCTTTTTGATTTTTAAGGCTAGTTTGAGTGACCTTCATAAACTGCAGCATAGTCTCTTCCATCTTATTCATTCTCTCAGTCATAGATTTTGAAGAATTCTGAGTTCTTTGAGGTTGAGTAGAAGAATTGCCTTAAAAAAATTGATGCTGTTGTGAAGTTCTTCCACTTGAAAAAGGAATAGATGAGTTAGTATTCTTCACAGTAGAGTTTTAAGGATTCTATTTGTAAATTGTTGATTTTTGTTGGTTGGATATTGAAAATCAGGGGGAAAAGATTATTGAGGAACAGACTGTTATGTAGTTGACCTGCTCTTGTGGTTCTGGTGTAGGTACATCACATGCACCATTAGCATGGTTGCCTCCACAAAAATCACAGATCAGTTAAGTGTTTGAAATATTTCTAGCTTGTAAGTTACTGATCTGCTAAGTTAAAGTTGCAATTTGCTTAGAAAATAATTGATTTTGTGCAAGCAAAGTCTCTATAGTTTTAGCTTCATATCCACTATTTTTTCTAGAATGTCTTGAGTTAAAATTTTGATACATAAAAAAAGTCATCATCTTAATAATCCTTTGTGCCTCTTTTAAAGATTTAGTGTTCAAAGAACCTCCTGCAACCGCATCCACCAAATTCGTATCTAAGAATCCCTAACAAAGAAGAATTAGAACAACATTACAAAGGAATGAGAGAAAGAATGAGTAGAAGGAAAAAAGTTGAAGATAATCTTCATGATTCCAATCCTAACTTGATCCCTCAAGATTTAAAAATTGGAATCGCCCCTAATCTTCTCTCTCTGACTGTCCTAAGGTGTGAAAAAGAAAAAACTAAGAAAAAGCTACTTAAAATATGAGTTTGGAGCTATTTATAATTTTTCCCGCATTTTTTGCATAATCACTTTTAGTGGGAAAATTGATTACACGCATAGTTTCTGCATAACACCCTCTCTAGAATGTTCACTCTTGGCTCTAAAACTAACCACGTGCAGCTTAATTTCTACAAATAGGCTTGCACGTAACCACTTTTGGTGGACAAAGTGTTAACGCGCATCAGTATTTCTCATGGTAGACTTTTGGAACATCCACTTTTGGTCTTGAGCATGTTTAGGCACATGCTTTTCTATCCAAACATCCTTCAAAGTCATTACTTTCACTACTAAAAGTGGTTACGTGCACTAGGGTCCCTCCAAATAACTTTTGTAGTTGTCACTTTTAATTCCAAAAGCGACCATGTACTCCTTCTCAAAGCCTACAAAATGACTACTTTTGTTTCTCAAAGTAGTGACGTGCAGTGTATTGATGTCTCTTATCCTTTGAAGTCTTCACTCCTGCTGACAAAAGTGTCTACGATTCACTTAATTTATCTTCTAACCCTCTGAAGTGTTAACATTTTGGGTTCAAAGTGATCACATTCCTCCATATTGACCTCTAAATGTCTTTCACTCATGTGCCTAGGCTCAAAATTTCCTACAAATTTATTTCAACAATAAAATTACATAAAAATTCTATTAAATCTAAACAATTTGATTTACTTTAAACAAAATTAAACTTATTTGAATAATTATCATTTTTTATGAGTTTTTAACCTTCCTACTACAATTTTCTATTAAAAAGCTACCAAAAAATTAACTAAAATTCCAGTAAAATATGGATTTATCAAACCTATGAATCTTGATTGTCCATATTTCTTCTTGAGGAGTTTTTTGGCTAGCATCCAAGGCCCAAATTTACCCTTTTCCTCCCCTAGCTCATCCTTTTGACCATTTTGAGAGTTTACCGCTAAATTATCCTTAAGGAAGGGATTTTCGTTCCTATTATTTGTTAATGAAGTATTTGTATCAGGTTTAGAGTCTTTATTTCCTTGATTAATTTTAGGATTATCAATGCATGAATCCACTCTATGCCAAATACCTTTCACAATCAAAACATATGAGGTGCAGTCCCCTATATTCAACCATAATATCTTGGCCTAAAACTTTAAAAGAAGAAACTAATTGCTTATTCAGATCAGCTCAACACAAATTCTTGCAAATTTGCCTCTAGATATTAAGGAGGTATGAGGATCTATTTTTAACATAGAGCCCAAATAGGCCCCAACTTGCCATAAGAACTTTTCATTATATAATTTTAGGGATAAATCAAGTATATGTACCTAGAGTGCAATTTGCCTTAGGTTATGGTTTATATGCATAAATAAAGGCGTCCACATCTGAACAAGAAGATAATGGTATAAGACTAACCAAAAATCATCAAATGGTCCAAGATTAACCATGGTTAATAATTGTTTAGATCCAGTATTTTAAGTTGACCATTTTTCTCCTAAATAGTTCCTAGTTTTTTATTAAAGAAATTAAAGCTGATAGATTTACCTAGAAGTTACACTAAAAGGATAAATTTCCAGGGAGAGCTCTATAGCTTCTAACCCTTGAGAGGAATTTTAAGTTCAGGACAAAGATTCTAAGTGATATTACTATCTAGACTAAATCCAACACTATCTACAGGAATATTAAACTCCTCTAAAATAGATCTAACTATTTCATCATCCCTAAAACCATATTTATATCCTTAGATGCAATAACTTTAGCTTTATATTCTAGCATGTGTGACATCAAAGCTTCCATGAGAGACACAATGTCTATTTGATGGTTGACAACGCCTTCAACAAGTGCACTGAATTGTACAAGAAATATAGTGAAAGTAAAGTATTGTTCTCGCAGAGATTGATGAAAACAGGTATTGATTCACTAAATTGAACTAATTGAATGCGATTAGGATTGAAAGGGACTCTAAAATACAAATTTTATTCACTTTGCAAGTAAATAAACAACAAAATCTAAAATAAGATGAGAAAATCTAATGACAAGATAGTTAAGATTAGACTTCACCCATAATTCATGTGATAAACTAAACTCCCCTACTAGTTCAAGCTCTGAAGATGTTAGGAAAAGTTTCCACTAAATTAATTCATATCAAATTCCTTGGTACACAAATTCTCTTGAACTCATACACAAAGACTAATTCTTTAATTCCAAATGTATGAGTCTAAGGTTTTAGAGCATAAGAAAATCAAAAGATCATACACCCAATAATTTCTATTTCTAGAAAATTAGATGATGAGGCAAGTAAATCATGAAGCACAACCACTTATTACATTTTCCAATGTCAAGAAGGTTCATCAAAACAAACCATGATTAGCTAGTTCATACCAAGCATTAAGAACAAATTTACAAGCTAACATCAAAAGAAGCTTAAAATAAAGTTAAGAATCTAATTATATCACAATCCCAAAGGGATATATCAACCCTAACTACAAAATGTTTAACAATCAATCACTGCAAAACACAAGAAAAGAAAGAGAGGCTCCCTTAGCCATGTTCTTGAGAAGAAAATGAGTTTGGAAATCTTCTCCAATCTTTCTCTCCAATGACCCAAGTATGGGTCTGGTCTTCTTGTCCTAAAAGAGTTGCCCCTTGGTTCTTTCTCATAAAAAACCCTGCCTCCACTACAATGTGTCTCCCAATCCCTTTTATCTTACACAATATGTATTCTTGTCCACATCAGTAAGTTTGCGTCTTGGTACATAAATGTCTGCACTTGGGCACCGAAAGTCCTACAACTTCATTAGCTAATCGTGATAAGAGCCTTAGTGCACACAAGCTTGCACCTCGGCATAAGATGACCTAAGAGCACATTGTCACACTTGAGTGGTGCCCTGGCACACATAGGTCTGTGCCTTAGCGCTGAATAACCTGCAATGAATATCCAAACTTTACCAATTTTCACCAAACTAGTAGTAAGGTAAGAAAATTTGAAAAGCTAGAATACTAATAAATTTGGAAAAAAAATTGAAAAATAAGAAGTTAAAGAAGAAGAAAAGAAGATTAAAATTAACTAAAAACTACACATTAGTAGACTCTTAACAAACTCGCCCACACTTAGCTGTTTTCTTGTCCCCAAGCAAACACAGACAACTAACAAACATACAATTTCAAAAAGCAGCTCAAATAAATAGTGAGAAAATCTTAATAAGAGAACAATTATAAGTAGATTATAAGTATCAAGCCAAATCAAATAGTGCATTTATGCAAATCAAGTAAATCCAAAAGTAAGTACAAATGCAAACCTTTATACAACCCTTAAAAATCAATGATTAAATTGAAGTTGGTTACTGAAACTGAACATGAATAATTTCTTTTTCTTTTTTGTTCCTTACTTTTTTCATTTTTCTTTTTTATTTTTTTTTTGGACAGGGGTTCCAGGATGTGGTGAAAGAACATTGCCTAATCCCACATTCAACTGATTAAGCTTCAATGACTTACTCTTACTTAACAATGCTCTTTCACTCAAGTGATTTAGGTGATTAGCCCCACTCCTTGGTTAATCAAGACATTGCAAGCAGTGGAGTAGAGCCCCCACTATATCCATATAATATCTTTTTCTTTTATTAATTTTCAACACATCAATTTTAAAAAAGCATAAAAATTTGCACATGAGCTACTTCCAAAACATTTTCTATTTAGAAAAGAGATGCACTAATACTCTTTAGCAGA